GCCAAGGTAATGTCGTCTTGAGTATCTATCTGGTAGGACACCTGGCTTTCTAAATGTAATAGGGCGAAAATATAATAACTTTAATTGCGTCTGAATTTAGAAGCAGAAAATTACAGGTCGCTCGGGCCTTTATGGCTTTAAGACATGCTTATCATTTAACTAATTGATTTGCGTCCCCTGCCTTCGTAGATAAATACAGGTCCAGTGCTTTCTAATCATTTTGCCAGAGGGATTGATGGTCAACAATTTCACAAAAGTTAACTGTGGTTTCTTTGAACAGGTTTATTGCCCCTCCTCAAAAAAGAAATACAAAAAGGGTGCAATAAATCTTTTCTTTTCCTTCAACATTTTTTATTTTAAGGGTTTTTAAGTAATCCTGTACTTATAATCTTAGTATCAGCAAGGCCATGCACACATCATGCACACCAAAACATTTAAACCTCTGACGGGTAAACCAGTACTGATCATCTTCTCGCAGTATAGAGCTCTTTTTGGGAAGCTTTGGTTCCTTTTGAATTCGTCTTTATGGTATTGGAAGTTGTGCAGGAATAAATCAGGACACAGAGGCCATAAAAGATCCCCTGCAAGCATTTTTTAAGTGGCATGAGTGAGACGGAAACAAAATCTGACTAAGTGTACTTTACATGTGCATTATGGCTAATCAGTGTAAAATTATCAGACTTTAAATGAAGGGGAAAAACTGCTTCTCTAATCTTATTCTGATTCAGTGTGCTGCCTTTTCTTTTATCAGACTTACCTTAAGTCGCTTCTCTTCAAAATGTACCCTGTCTGAGACAAATCAGTTGGTTAATATACCCCACAATTATGCAGGGACTTGTATTCTTTTGAACCATGTCCCCAAGTCAGTAATTAACCTTAAACAATATCGGCTTCTTTTAATGGAAAACAACAAGCCAATGGTTATTCACAGCTTTATCTCGCTGCAAAATCCCTCTATAATCCCCCAACATCTCCTGGCATATTTGTGGCTAGGTGGAGGTGGGCAGCTTTTTAAGTGTGATAGATGGAGTTTAGTTTCAGGCTGCTGCCGCTGCTTCCTTCTCTGGCCCAGCCATCCCCAGAGAGCCTTGGATGAGCCTGAGCCACAATATAGCTCTGCTGAAAAGCTTTTTGCTGTTGTTCAATCTGTATTCAGAAGAAGAGCAAGCAAGCCACTCTTACCAGACTTTTTTTTTTTTTTTTGGCTGAATCACTGACTTTGTATAGCCTTTTCATTTGTATTTAGATTAACATGACAATAATTTGAACAAAGAAGGTGCAGACATCCAATTTTACTGGTTTATCTAAAACAGTCCTTGTTAACCTGGGAAATAAAGGTCACTGACAATGAAGGAGGTGTGTTTAAAATCAGTTTATATTAAATAATCACATTTTTAAGGGCATAATACCTGCATAGGACTCCACCTATAGATGGCACGATCAAAAACCCCTTGCCCCCTAGACTACATCCTGATTCGATAAGTTGTGAGTATAGAGACAAAGAAATATATATAATTGGTAGGAGTGTGAAATTTCAAGATGCTGACACAGCAGAGAATCAAATCGAGGAGAAGCTGGAAATATTATGAAAAGCACCAGAAGCAGGTTTGGAACACTGGAATGTGCAGTGGTTTTTCCAGAGGAGTCGGCTCATCAAGCTTTAAGAGCAGCCCATCTGTGTAAAGAAATCTAAAAGTAAACTCTATAGCTGCAAAATATTCAGACTAAAAATGGTTTCATGCACGACTAAAGGGTAGAAATACATTTCTTTAAACCCCATCAGAGGAAACTGAGGCATACATCAGAAATTTGTGCACTATGACAGTGGTCACCAACCCGTTTTGCGCCACAGACCGGCCTTTCAGGTAGTGCGGATAAATACAACATAATAAAATGATACGACCAAGACAAAAACTGTGGTATTTTGTAAATATAATAATAAATGCGAATTCACTATGTAATTGTGTAACTTTATTAGCAGCGACCTCCTGAAATGTTCCAACAACAATGAGAGTAACATCCTCCTCTCTTCCCCTTAATACTCTCTGGTCACCATGGTAACGCGTAAACACTTCTTTCACACTAAGACGGCCAACTACAACGCAGGAAAAGACCCGGGGAAACAGAGTTAACGATAAAAAGCCTGAAAACCATAAATTTCACACCCGAGCTTCGACTCCAAGCGACTCGGGGGTTGGGGACCGCTGCACTATGACATTTCAAAGTCTCTGGATGACTCTAATGAAGAGATAAAGAAACATTAAATGTGGGGTAGAGAACGCTTTAATCTAATATTTAATGCCGGATGAGTCACACCATTTTCATGATCCAGTCGGTGATATAGATGACCCTTCAGACCAACCTTCTATGTAGTAGATAGAGCCAAACCTTTAGAGAAAAACGTCAGCCATGGCAGAAGAGTCGCTTTGTTACTGCGAGGTCGAGGGTTTAATCAGTCACGCATTTATAAATTACAAAGAATTAATTAATTATTAATCAAAATTCACTGATGATAAACTGACTAACTGCTTCATCTATAAAGTACTTTGGCATTGCTGCGTTGCTCTTGCACTGAAAACAGTTATATTAATAAAGTAAATGTATTTATTTTTTTTCCTTTTCCTTTTAATACATTAACTGCTCTGAGGTGAGGAAACGGTTATTTTTTTAGTTATTCTGTAGCTGTCTCTCAGGTCAGTTTCAAAAGAAGAAAACAGACCTTGAACTGGAAGCAGAAACCACGTAAAATGTACCAGTGGATATTACATTTGTGTAATATAACTTAGATCTGCCAGTCTGTTGCATCATAGAAAAATGTATTTGATTTGATTGACATGTTTTTTAGTTCTTTACAAAAATGCGTTTTAATCTACAAAGCATATAAAACAGGGAGTTGTTGTCGAGGATATGTCAATACAGACAGGAATCAAAACTGTTGCTTCTGGAAAGTTCTTAGACCGATCCATGCTAAGATGTACATCCTAACAAGGTTCTGGTGTTTCCTGTTGATAGCAAAATATCTAGAATAATCTGGTTCACAGCATGCAATATAATGGCTGAAGGAATGCCAGTTTGTTTGGCTTGGCCTCCATTTATGCTTACAGTGTGTTATTGCTGTGAAATGGTGTCAAATGCTTTATCTTAACTGCAAGACCCCATGGTTGCAGTGTAGCTAAAGTGGTGTTTTGGCATGGTACGTAAATACACTGAACTCAGCTTTCACAGCCACTACAAATAATTAACAAAACATAATTATAAAATAATAATTAATTATACTGAACTGATACTGTTTTGGTTCCTAAAGTGTTTAACTCTATTATCATGTTTTTTTAATGCGCGCACTTAAGATTTTCTAGATATATTTAAATAACATGTACTCACATTTTGCAGCCAAATTCTTGGTGAATTGAGCAACTCAGGGGATAGCATGAAAAACGTGCGTTTATTGAGCAAATTGTCATCTTATTATTATTATTCTTGGCAACACGTCAGAAAAGAAACTCGAGTCCCATCAAAAATATCCCAAAATTTAAAAGGGCGTGTGCAGCAATAACCTTTCCTAAAGCACCACCCTGAGGCCAAAAAATAAATACAAATAAAACTTTGATGTCACCCAGAGGATAAATCTTTTTGATTTAAGCAGCAGTACAATGTGGCCTTTTTTCTGTCACAACCCCCAAACCTTTTTCTTTTTTTTCTTTTTTGCCTCATGGATGGCTCAGAATAACAACATGTACCTCTGTTGTTGAGCCCTCTGACTGTCTGTTGTATAACACGATTACCCCCTCATGGGGCTGTTATGGTTATTACTAACTTTTAGACTATTCCGGTATAAAATCTTCAGTGCTGCAAATAAAACCCTAAAAACATCCGTGAGCCTCGGATGGAAGCTTGGTCGTCTCCAGTACTGATCATCCTTCATCCGCACTTTGTTTACAACTAACCCCGTCTTCCCTCTGCGATACAATATGTTTATAGACAGCTTTCCTTTATTCTTCAGTAGAATTTAAAATATAAGAAACTGTAGCAACAGGGAGTTATGTATGACTAAAATCCTATTATTTCCACTATGAAAATTACCTGGGATTCTCACTTTGAGGTGAGACAATCGCTTTTGTCTGCGTACAGTTGGTGAAGTGTCACAGCAGTTACTAAGAACGAAGCATGACTTGGATTGTGATGAAGTAAGATTATAAAGTAAGATTTGATGGAAGGCAGCCTTCCACCCCTCTTGGGGCTGTTGTGATTCCAGACTTTCATTATGCTTTCTTATCTCTCATAATCTAAAAGGTTTGTCCAAGACAACCAAAGCGTGCACCCTGGTTTCTTTGTACAATTATACTGCAATGTGTGATTAAAAAAACAAAATGAAAGGTTGCAGATTCGCATTCAGACATTGTGTTCTTTTTTGTGCAGTTACCATTGGGCATCTCCCGTTATTCACACATCAATTGAAACAAATATTGGCATGACTTTGATTTTCTTTGAAGATTAAAGTTGTTATCTTGAGCTAATCAAGTAGGTCAGCGGTGACAGAAAGCATGATTCTATGGCATTAAAGTGTAGTAGGCTAGCATTTTCAGAACTACCCTTACTCAGGTTTTTTCAGTTAGAGGAGATCAGTGCCTGCCTACCATGCCCACCAGTTAATTTTACAAGGCTGGTTGAGCCAAAATACTCAAATGGATGTTGTTCAGTTGGTCTAGCCCCTCAGTTTGGTCTCAGTTGCCTCCAAAGCCTGAAATATGGGACTGCAGTTAAACACTCTCTTTCAACCCTTGTGAGGATTTAGTGTTATTCATGGTGTAGTCATTTGTATTTCTAGTTCTCTTAGTTATTTTCTGGTTATATTTGTAGTCTCTGGTCTTTAGGTTTTGTTTCTGTGCCTCTCCTGTGTCACATCTAGTCACCCTTGTCTCTATGTTTGTGCATCTCCTGTGTCCTGACTGTGTTGTCTTTCTGTCTCCAGGGGTTAGGGTTAACCCTAACCCTAACCCTAGTCAATTATATTCTCATGTCTGTTCTTCCCCAGTCCCAATCTGTCTGTCAGTGTGTTTCTTGTGTTTCCTGTTTTATTTTGATAGTCCCTTGTCCTGTGTTTATTGTATTCTGTTTTGCTTCCTCTCTGTCTATTCGGTTAGATCTGTTCCAGCAATGTTTCACTTCTTTTTCCTTTGTGTATTTAGTCCTCTGTCTTCCTCTGCGTGTTGTTGTGTCGTCCTCCTTATAATTCCAAGTTCTATGTTCCAGTTTCCTAGTTTTAGTTCCTTGTTTATAGTTTTTGGCTTAGTTTCTTGTATTTAGTTTTCAGTCTATTCAGTTTAGCATTAAACCAGAGGCTTGTGCTAACCTAACCAAAATATTATTCCCTTATCCAAAAACTAATTATGTGATGGATCACTAATGCCTACTAAATGAAGCATTAGTGATCCATCAAGATCTAAAATTCATAGGTCTGTTTGAACTATAAGCGGTCTTGCTTTGCAAGATCAAAAACAAACACTGCTTAAGTGGTGCTTAGGGGCTATGGCAGTTTTAGGTGATAGAAATTCGGTAATGGTAACTGTAAACTTATCTGAAAATGCAATGCGTGGCTTGAGATGGATGGAAAATTGACAGACGTTTTCTGCAGCTTTGTTAAGTTGCTGTCTTTTTCCATCTCAGGGCTTTTTTTGCTAATAACATTAATAAAAACTTTACTAATTTATGCCTTTATAGCCACAAAGTAAATATAGGTCAGTTAGCCAGCTAGCTTATCTGAGCACAAAGCGCAGAAGAAAGCAGCTAGCAGTTGCCTGCATGTACTTCTGAAACTCATTACATAATGGTAAATACGCTAATTTAAATGTGGATGTTATTAGTTTCTTACAGTCACATGACATGTTGCCCGCTGTTCTCAACGCATGTTATTTTAATGCTGCCTTTGAGCAAAAAGCCTAAAGATAAAAAATACACTGTCTACCACCACTGTGGTAGACAGTCCATTATAGCAAGGTTAAATGGAAATCTCTGGAGAGTGTTAGCTCAGTGTATATGTACTTTTGTGTCACAGGAGATGACAAAGTTAAATTCAGAACTGTTGGAGACGCAGTGGGTTGAAAATAACTTTTTCTTGGGTGTTTTCAAATGATGGCGACTGGATGAGAAAATCTCAGTAATATAATGGGTTAATGTCTTAATGTCATACTTCTATGACAAGCATATGAAACAGGCTCATTAATTTACAGTCTCCATTATAAATGGACCATGTAGTTAGTCTAGAGTGATTAGTTTCCAGGGCAACTTCAATAGTTTTTTTTTTAACTTGCGACTTTTTGTTTCAAGACAATGTGCAATCAATTCTGAAGCACTCTTAACTAATTCTATCAAGTGAGATTAATATTACCTGTGATGATGAGGTGTTATGTACTGAAAGCAATTCGTGACACTTCATGAACAAGTGTGACTTGATGAATGCTACAGCATATTCTTATTAATTCAAATAATGGTTTTAACTTTCGTGTTTAGAAATAAAATGCTCAGCAATAGTTTATTCAACTTTAAGGTGAACGGTGGTGACTCCAAGAGCATAATCGGCTTTTTCAGACATGTAATGTATAATGCTGTTCACCTTAGGTACTTTTGTCAATACACAGTGATTTTTACAGTTAGGTTGTCCTTCTTCACACATCATTTGCTGACCCTGATCTACACTATTACGGAATGCTACTCTTTCCCAAGAAAAGAGCATTTACTTTTCAGGTTTTCAGTATGAATCAGCACGTAGGAGTAGAAGCTTGTCTTCAAGGTCATCACACAGGTGAATTTACTACACTGACTGAATCTGTAGCTTTTACCCCCAACTGGTGACCAAGAGCTGTTGTCAGCTGCTTTTCTGAAGAGTTTATACACCACAACTGTGTGTTGTCTTTTTAAGATATTTGTCCACACATCATTCTGTTTGAATCCATATGTAGCCTTTGATGGCAAACAAGTATTTCATCTTATTCATGTTTTTTGATTGCGATTATGTTCCCCAGAAAATCACCAAGAGTCAGGATAAACCAAGTGACACTTTGAGGACAGCATTTTACTCACATTTGCTGAGTAAAGACATCTAAAAATAAAAAGTTTGTGCTTGCGTGGGTTCTGTCTGTGTAACTACTCCTCCCTCCCATGTGTTAGGTTATCTGGTAAGTCTAAATTAGCCTTGGCTGTGAATGTGGAATATTTTTGATTTTTTTTAGCCTTGCAAAGGATTGGCAGTCTCTCCAGGGTGGACCCCACCTATTGCCCTAAAATAGCTGATACTGTGTAGGATTCAGCCTCCCCACAACTTTGAACTGAACAAATGAACGAAGATGGATGGAAGGAAAAATGACCTTTTAAGGACTGCGCCGTAAACATCTTTCAATTTCATTACAAATGTGTCTTTTCAAAGATGATGTGATTGCAAAAAAAGTATCTTTAAGCATTAATGCCAGACAAAACTGAACTTCATAGTCAATGAATGTGAACCTTTTGAATTGTTTCCATTCCATTTATAACATCAACGCAAACCAGCAAGCTGGTAAGTATGTTCCCATCTATTGTTGAGTAGCAGAAGTTATTTTGCAGATTTGAATTACTTTGTTAAGATTCATTCAGCGCCAGGACTGGGCTTGTATAACTTTTCAATTGCACTTCAGTACATTTGTATGTCAGTATTCAGTCTGGATATTCATTCAGGTTAACCGTCCTTGTTGGATGGATCATCATCATTATGGATGTACAGAGGGGTATTTATTTTCTCACCATCACACAAAGAATAAGGACTAACCCTACATGCGATGAATACCGAACAACTTAAAGCAGCTTGTTACTTTTCTTTGAACATGGTAGGTGATAACTTAAAAACTGTAACTGTAAAAGGTTTATTAGGTAAGCTTAATATTTAACCTATCGTTGCATTACATTGGTCTCAGGACTCTCAATTCAATGTGTCTACATATGCCACCTAACCAAAGATCATGACTTTAAAGGTTTTAATTAGTGCGTAAATTTGGCGTGGTTTATGCAACTAATTGTGTATGCAGATGAGAATTAAGGACTTTGTGATACAGGCCTCTGAATGTAAACAGAAGAAAAAATACATGCTTACCGAACGTGATTACAGGAGTGGAGGAGGTTTCACTTCTGCAGTCAGAATTCACTCTGCAGATGTGAAATGGTTTCAGAAAGTTCCACAGTTGCTTGACCTTCCAGGGCTCACAGATTCATGAGGCAGTGCTATTGATTTAAACAGGTGTAAAGGCCTTTCTCCTGCTGAGGAAATTTAATCATGTCAGAGGGCCACCGGGTTATTGCACAAGACACTGTCACCAGCGCTATAGGACACTTTTATGTCAGGGGCCTAGACAATATTAATTTTACTTTCACCTTATATTGTGCAGAAGAAGCGGTCTGGAGATCCAAAGCAGATTCCCGAGAGAAAACCACCAAAACTAAAGCACCCAAAAAAGAGATTAATAAGAACATTTTATTCTTGGAAGTATCTTTGAAGTTTTCGAATGGGTCCCGAATTCACATTCTGATCATTTTTCTGATTTAATATGTTCAGGATCTGTGCTCATCCTCTCTGACAAATCCAGTGATGAAGTTCTTTACTCTGTTGACTAAGCCCAATTAAGTTAAAAAAATTAAATAACCAAAACAATCCTGTGTTTAATTTCAATTAACTTAAAGCACGCTTCCACAGAATCTAAATCAAAGTGTAAAATTTCTTATATAAACCTCAATGTTTTATACAAACAGTAGCAGTTATACTTCAAAGTCATTTCAGGTCTACACTGTGTGTGTGTGTGTGTGTGTGTGGTGTGAACTCATAGGTGAGCATGCTCAGACTAATTTCAATCCCTTTTGTGAATGGCTGATTATCACAATCTGTAGATTAAGTCTGGGGCAGCTTTAAGTCTGTCAGAGTGAGAAAAAGACCAAAAGACGAGGGGAAGGCGTCAGCATGGCCCAGAAAAACAATTGTAAGTTAAACTTCTGATTATTTTCATCTTTTATGCTATTTTTGTTGTTGTTCTTGTCATGTTGGTTATGAACAAGAGAACTAATAAGACAGCACGGGTGCAGATGAATGGCAGTACTAACAACCCCTAATGACATAAACACGTTTCAATAAAACTAAAACGCTTTTGTTTGTTGCCTCAGGATCACCTTCGTTTGATTCCGATCATTAGCACATTTGAGACCTAATTGTATTGCATCCCCAGAATGACTCTCACTCTTGGAATCTTAATAGTAGTAATAATTTTAATTGTGATTTTCACCTCAGGTTGTCACATGAAAATGGCATTTTCATATTTATGTGGAATAGAAATGAATTAAAAATGAAAAGGGTAAGAATCAGTGAGAGGCATAGTGATTTATTTTATATTTATTTAACAGGTTACGTGAGCATATTTAGCCCATTGTGAAATCCAGCAGGAATTTCTGATTGCAACAACAGGCAGATTAGTCTCACCGAGCTCTCATTCTCTCCCTCCCTTCTCTTTTCCTCTAACATGCAGTTCAGTTCTCCATCAGGGAATATAGACCTTCAGATCAACATGTGGTCATGTCACTATTTAAGGATGGGATTTTTGAGCATGTTTACCCAGCCTTTTTCAAGGCCATGAGCCATCCAGACCATATTGGTGTTGCTCTGAGCATTTCGATGGCTGGTTATGTGCTTGGAGGCAGCTCCTACTTCCAAGCTCTACTGTTTGGCAGTGCATGGGCTGGCCTCATTTATTATTGCTGCCATGATATCTATGAGGGCTACATGATGAGGAGGCAAAGCGCAGATATGGCCGACATTCAGGCCAGCTACCTGGAAAACCCAGATAACGGCTTCTGGGTAGCAGAGACAGACATCAATGGCCAATCCAAGGTGGTAGGAATGGTGGGAGTGACTGGAAAAAGCGGAGAGGAAGAAGGCGAAAGGTTTGAAGACTGGAATGGCGGAGTGACGGGAGGAGGCTCTGAGTTGGCTCAAGATGCCGGGGATGGAAGTTATGGTGAGATGTGTCACATGGTCGTGGCATTTTCGTGGCGCCGCAAAAACTTGGGCTCGCAGTTGACACGGAAGGCTTTGGATTTCTGCAAAGAGAGAGGCTTCGGCCGTCTCATCCTGGATGTGAGCTCTCCACAGACAGCAGCCATTTCCCTGTTCGAGAAAGCCGGCTTTGTGCAAACCTCATCCCATCGCAACACGCATGCCAACCGCTGGTTCTCCAACCTCGCCAGAATAAATGTGATGCGAATGGAGAAGTTAATTTAAAGATAAAATTTAATCTAGCGAGCAGCTATTAGAACCTAAAATGTACAGCATATCATGAATATGTCACTTAATTTAATCTTGTACCATCATTGGAAAAAACTCTCTGTGTGATATTGGTCACTGGTTTCTCAAATTTGCTATCATGGTAGTTTGAAAAATATATTAAATTTCATGTTTTTTTCCACAAAGCAGGATTAACGATCTCAGTTTCCTCGTATTTCTTCTCGCTTTGATCTATTATGTATACACCTGCACCCCTGACAGTCTGTTTCCCACAAACATAGAGAACAATGAGACAATTAGTCAACTTCTCAAACTTAGTTAAATGAACGTATTTGCGTATGCAAGTCTAGTACACCCCAGTAAGTTTCTATTAAAAGAATTTATTGTATTTTAAACGTAGTCACGTTCAATTATCTATTGTTCTCCTGTCCACTAAGGAATATAAAAATGTATGTGAGAAAGGAGAAGTGTAGTCATTTGGAAGCAGGAGAACTTTCTTTTAAGCCTCTTTCCAGGGAGAGGCTGAATCCCTCTGCCTCAGAGGAATTAATGCCAGCTGACTTCTAAGACCTCACAACTCTTTGCTTAAAATACCAATGAAAAATGCAATAGTATCAGGACATTGGGAGGTTTAAAATTCTTTGGAGCTAAAAGAGCTGTGAGTGTGTGGCATAAAAATAGGATAAAGACTTTGGTATACTGCAGTGCATTCAGGTCATTGTACACACGGCAAATACTGAGATTATCAACACCAAACAATAGAGAAAAAGTTTAACTGTTTCTTTATAGGTGGTCCTATGGTATGTGCGTGTATGGGAGGAGGGATTGGGTGAATCCAGGTGGAAAACCCATGGAAATTTTTCTTTTATAAAATAAAAAATGTGATTGTTGACTCTGAAACAATGCAAAAAACAGCATTTCTGTTCATTATAGAACCTGATGCAGGAAAAACCTAGTGACATGAATAGTGCAGCATCAGCTAAACAATGTAGATTTACACCTTTCTTAACCTACATTGCACCAGACATCTGCTAAAGGTGATTACAATTTCCAGAATATTATCATCACCGCACAGTAGCTGCTTTTCTTTAAAGGGTATGCGTCTGCAGACGACGAGCCTATAAGGAAAAAACATCAAGCAACCAATGTGTGCAATGACAGGTGCGACCTAAATGAGCTTCAAGAGAGGGTGCTGGATGGATAAAGCAGCTTGGCACTGAGAAACACACACACACACACACATCAAAGGCCTTCAGGCATCAATCATTCCTGCTGAGGCTGTCAGAAAAAAATTCGGCCTGTGGCCAGCAGGCAGGTGCTGAACTAGCCAAAGGAAGATGAGCCCTAATTCTGGCCAACCTGTTGTCATCCTCTCACAATTACCAGTACAATTGGCCTCAAGGTAATGACAGCTTGATTGTAATTCCTGTCATACACATGCTGCACAGATGAGTCAGTTGCCATTTTGGGGACAATGATATGAGATGAAGCTGCTGTGCAACTACTCTCCGTAACGTCAAAATCCATGCTGCCACAATGTCTATGAAAACCATTCAGCCCCTCAGAAGTTGTCGTGTTTTATTGCCTCATAGCAATGATGTCACACGCTTGATGTGCACTGATCACTAGAAAATAACCTTTTAACAGCAAAACATAAATGTAAAATACAAATTGGGAGTAGTGTGTGAGGCAGATGTATAAATTCAAGAAAGACAGACGGAATTTATTCTCTGGACAAAGCTATCCATGTTTATATCACATTATGCAAATGAATAGGCTGATTTTTAACCTTTATTTACAACATAGAACAGCGGTCCCCAACCCCCGGGCCACGGACCGGTACCGGTCTGTGAGTCGTTTGGTACCAGGCCGCGAGAGTTGAGGCTCGGTTTCCCTGGGTTCGTTAACTGAATTTTCCTGGGTCTTTTCCCATGTGTTATGAATAACTCTTTTTTTTTTTTTTGGAACTGGTACTGGTTTTATTTTGTTGTATTTATCCGTGACACCTTAAAGGCCGGTGTGAAAATATTGTCTAGCAGATCATTACATGAAGGAACCTTTTAAAAAAACAAGCGCGTCCATGCTCACAGGTGTACACACGGGTGGTCACACCCACAAACTACACCCTTTTTGGCTCCTACCTCAAAGCACACTGTGTTCTGTTGATCTTATGTGCTGCACAATAATGTTTAATATTTAGTATTTACTGTCATATTCCCATATATCATTGTGATGTTGTTTATTCTATTACTCTTGTTCTCTTCTGCTTGTTTTCTTTTTTCTTTCTCAGCAGGTGACCCAGGTGATCGATATATGCATTTTTTTTCTCTGCCCATTCTGTTGGTTTTTGTTTTTTGCCCTTCTCCCCCGTCCCTCTTCTCAGCTGTTTCTCTTTCCCTCTTTCTTTCTCCCCTTCTTTCCCCCAGTCAAGTCTGTCCCGTATTCAGCAAGTGAAAATAAAATAAACAATAAAAGGTGAATCAAATGGACCATTATGGCAAGGCTGGGATGGTCAATTTGGTAAAGTAAATCCGTTGGGCATCTTTCTTTGCCTTTAGACAATAATTCTGATGGCAAAAGAGCCAAACGGGACAGGCAAAAAAAAAAAAAAAAAAATTGTGGACATAAACGCGGTCCGTGGCGCAAAAAAGGTTGGGGACCGCTGACATTGAATAAAATACACATAATACCAAGACGAGATAATAAAAAAGCTCAGGGGGATAGAGAAGGCTCTGTTTGCACTTCATTTGAAGAAAAAGATGGTGACGTGTTTTGTGTGTGACCAATAATCACACGTACATTTAGATTTGGCAACTCCACAACGTTGACCCTTGCTAAGCCATTCCTAAGTAGCTTTGTGTTGCAAAAGCTGAAGTTTCCATATCCACTTTAATAAATTAAACCATTCCACAGCACAGACGTGATTTTCATTTGATTAATTGTAAGTACTAATAGCTTTTAATAAATATGGATTTTATTTAACCTTATCACTCAGTAAAGAAAGGGCTTCTGTTGATCAAACAGACATTAACAGACATTAATTCTGGTTAGATTTAGTGTTGTAAAACAATAATATTTGGAAAGTATCAAATGAAGTGAAATATGGTGTGAAATGTAATTTTCCATGCATGCACAGAAATTAAATGCAACAGAGAAAAACTGATTTATTTGTATTCTTAATTAGAGTACTGACTTTACAGAGGAACTCCGAGGGTAGGAAAGCATTACTTTGAAATTTCTTGTATTTATTTATTTTTTCCTGGTTTGAGGTATCAATAGAGAAACTTTAAAACGTCCTTCCATCTATCTCTCATTACTGGACCAAAGGTTTCCAATTTGAGATAACATAAGATCAATAAAATGGGCAGACTCTCATCATAGGATGAGCTCAGAAATCCGATTAGGAAAACATCTTTTTGTCCCCTATAGGGTGGGATGGTGAGTGCACACCTGTGTGGTGTGTGTGTGTGTGGGCAGGGATTATCTTGAGAAATCCCGCATGCATGCATATTAACAATAACGTATTTCTTTCAGTATCTTACTGATCGGACTCATATCGAGATCTACGCCATCTAGCTTATCATAAGAAAGGAGCTAATGTATCTTCAGGCAAACTCTGACAACAACAAAGGAAGTAATCAACATTGTAAACAGTGCCTGCTTGTGAAGAGGTCTGTCTCTTTTTCTAGATTAGCACCCTTATTGAAAAGGCAAAGATTATGGAGATTAATTACATGAGGGTAACAGCCGCCTATGTGCTGTTGTGTGAAAGCCAAAAGTAGATTTGTTTGGCTCATACATCATCATATACTATTCACCACAGCCTCGCATAATCGCTTTTCATCTTCTTCGTTTCACCACTGGAAGTTACTTTCTTGGCCGTTCTGCTGTAATTCACTGCAGAAGACAGCACCTGGCCCATTCTGTTAGCTGTTAAATCACAAGTAACAACAGCATACCGTGCATTTACACAAACATGTTTGCTGCATTTTGGGAACCTGACATTATGCAGAGTGTGCACTTCCTTTTTACTGAATAATTGGTCAATTATTTGCTGCATGGTTCAAGAATGATAAATATACTTTTTATCTATAACAGCAGAATATTAGACCACAGCGCGCAGTCTGAGACACTAACAACTAAAGCATAAAATCAGGACAAATGTGTTGACTGCATCTATTGAATTATACCTAAGGACTGGAACATGTATGAAAGCATAATTACTGTCTCATTAGCATTCAAGATTGGAAGTCAAATTATGAGGATAAATGTAGGATTAGATGTAGCTAATGAGTTGGTATTAAATATGTTTACACGAAAAGCGAACCTCTACATCATGGATAAATGTTCCACACAGTATTAGGCAGTGGCTCGTTTGCTGAGCTCCAGCTTCAATCCAAGAGGACTGTGGGGATTTGGTCAAGCAAGTAATTGGACAAAACAACAACGGAAAAATTGATCACAGCTGTTATAATTAGGAGAAATATGGGACAATCAATTTTTTTCATATTTCAGACGCAATGCCAAGTTACCCAGAATAGCTGCATTCCAATATGGTGAAGGGTAATAGTTATAGTCGGATCCTCTTGTGCTTTAAATAATTCTGCAATATTTTAGGATAATGAACCTTGAGACTCAGATCTCAATCACACTGAGAGTTTAGCATATTATTAAAAATGTACAAATGCGACTTGAAATGAAATACTTTTGTAGACTTTTACATGAAAGTTATTGGAGTAGGAGGCTGAATGTTAAATTTGTTTTAATAAAAAACTAAACTAACAACGACAGAAAAAAAGGCCAAACAAAACAAAAAACCTCCCCAGTGATATAATTCATATACATGCTCATATTCGTTCTTTGGTTCTGTCCCACCAGTATCTCAAAAAGCAACTGCCTGTATTTGTGGCACAAATATGGCTGCGTTACGTACAATATTTAATAAAAAAGTAGCTACACAACATACAGCTCTGACCAGATTTTTGCAGTCTTTCACGCTGCTTATTTGAAAAACATAGATATGTAACAGCAGGCTACATAACACCTTTTCCAGGTTTTTTATACAGAACATTTATTTTGGTCTCACGTTCTGTGTTAATGTTATCTTGTGATCATGAGCTATACGCTTGTGTGACTTGAGCAGAGTCACCGGCTATAGCTGTTGCCCTATTCAAGCCTTTAGCTCAGTCCACATCCCAAATAATCAAAACAAATGTGAAAGGTGCAAAGAACCTGGTCTGCTTACGTCACTTCAAAGACTCCATTTCATTTGCGAGAGCAGTTTGCTCTGTTCTTCAAAGCCACATGACAATTTGATAAGAATAGATGTCTTCAGCTGTACGAGGTGCCTGCATACTCTTGACTAACTAGGGAAACCATGACTGACAACTCTCTGGCTGAAGGAATAACATGGGAGGGCAAAAGTTTCACTTGAAGTGAATAAGAACTTGTATTGGAGGGCTCAGAGAAATTCAACCAGATAATTTGACCTAAAGGAATCACAAAAGCAGCACAAACAAGAGAGAAGTGGTGGCGTCAGACAAATTAAACAGATAAACAGTTCACCTTAAGGAAATGCATTCGTTTTAATATCCTTCTACTACAGCACACCAGTAATAGTAGTTAAAAAAAGGAAGCAGAAATTAGAACAACTCTAAGGTAACAAAGCGTAACCTTCACAGAAGAAACATAATCCAAGGATAGTTTAAACTAAGAAAATACAAGTGTGAGAATTGGAGTAGAAGAATCAAATTCCAAAAACAAAATGTTACTTGCATTATATATATATGTCCATGGTGTTGATGATCTTATGATCATTTGTATCTGAACAATCCAAGATGCACTCTACACGCTCATCTGATGCTAAGTTGTCAATCATAAAGTTCCTCTTCAGCAGAAAC